CAAATGTTTCTGATGGGTTGCTGCTATCAGAAAGAGGTCCTTCGACGCAGAGCGACTTTTTGCTTATTATACTAGAAAACGGCTGTGTAAATATCGGCATTAAGCTGGGTTCACAGAGCGATCTGTTACTGCTACGATCCAAAGTTTTCGTTTCAGATGATCGCTGGCATCAAGTCCGGTTCTGGAGGTAACTTTATTTTGTTTCCGTTTATCATCTTGACTTGTTTTGTAGGTCAAAAAGACAGGTGTTTCTTTCGGTTGATGCCGAAAGGCCACTAACTTCAGTTGCTCTTCCTGGAGCCACTGAGATGAATACTGACGGGATGCTATGGATTGGTAAGAGCCACTACAGAAAGCCTTTTTTATCATATTTCTTTAGGTGGTCATCAGGAACCTCCTTACGCTGGCAGATTCTCAGAGCTCGCTCATAGGTTCTTCACTGGCTGTGTCAGTGAGCTGGTTGTGCAATCAATTCCCCTGGATCTAGTACGACACGCGCTCGAGCCGGCTAAGGCTATTTCGTTTTGCAGTTGATTTTCTGAATGACCCCCCCCCCTTTCGACACTGCTGTGTGAATCGCTGCATATAATACTGATCTCGACTGGAAGCTTTCTTGACGCTAACATTCAGCGCTTGCTGCCTGTGCTTCATCTTTGCGTTGTGTACTTCATGTTGCTAAATTTATTTGTTTGGTATTGATTTAGTTAAACGATTAATTTGAATGGTATTATATTAATCGGTTCTTTTCTAGAAGATTTTTGGTGTATAATCGCTGTCAGTGTATTTTTCATATTGACTGAATCATTGCCACATACGAAGTTTAATTGTAGTCAGTACCGGCTATTTAGAGGGAAGCGTTGACGTGTAAGAGTAGGTGGTTTCGAGTCCGTTCGTGAATTTATGCTTTAAACTGTGTACACGGTGAACTTCTTAATTTCATTTAGATAGGTCTGATCCATGGCATTGCGCTATTTGCCGCAGGTGAACAGGAACGTTTTTTCAAATCTCAATTTCAAAATGAGATGATTTGTTTGCATACTATTAGGTTTCGAATTATATTCCTGAAGTACAAAATCTGTAGATTACTTTCTGTTATATTAATGCTACCAGTATTTCTAGCTGTTAACTTTTAACATGATGCAACGTGGTTAAATCGTACAGAGACAATTACAATGCTTTGCACAGTGATGATTAAAACTTTGAACGTCTTCCAGCAGATATCCATTTTTTTAGCGCCAAAGTAAACTGTTTGTTTGAAAGATAGATGAAACGTATAATCAGTTGAGACAGGTTAATTAACCAATCATAACGTGATTAATTAGAGTGAAAATGCATTAATTCTTTATAGGGCTGGCACAGACTCCAGAGGTAAGGAAAGAGTAGCAGAAAACCGTTTAAATTATTGAATATCTGCAGGATTATTATGCAACAGCTGTATTAAGGGGCATACGGTGCTTGTGAATATTGCGCCCATCAAGTAACTACATAAATATTTTAACCTGGAACTCCGCCATCGCCGGTCCCAATCCTGGACGAGAAAGGTGGAGGGTTGGAGACCGTGGCAAGTCTCCGTAAAATTCAGCCACCTGCCACTCATGGTATAGACGCCTTCGAAAATTATACCGGCTCGGTCGTCGCCCGCGTTATCAAGGGCCGCGCAGGCTGTTGGGGGACTGAGGCAGACTGCGAAAAGTCGGCGATCAGAACCTGCT